CTAGTTCTAAAGGATTGCAGGTGACCACAGTATATCCGGCCCAGTCAACGCTTGGGGTCAGCATGCTTTCGAATCTTTATTAAACCTATAGACAATACACTATAAATTAATTATTTGATACAACCCATTAACGACTGATTGACGGGTGGGGGATTAATGTTCCAGTGACAAATATTACAAACATATTTAGGATTGATTGTTATTTGCTTAATGTCCAGTGGCGAATAGTTTATACAAATCCTGAGATTGACGTTTAGCTTAAAGATGTGTCTAACGTTGAAGATCGTATAATGACCCCTACAGGTCGTTGGTTTTTTGTGTTGCAGACTCTTTGTCGTTTACCTCACATCTCCTTTATTCATAAACAGTATTGTAGCTTGTTTGTTTTTGCGTTACATACAGTGGCAAATATTTCATCCATATTAGGGAAGTAAACACAAACTAAATATTCACTCTGATGTGACGACTAGGATCTTACTTTGACTACTGAAATGTGTACTTCTTGTGATATTTTTTATACATAGAGATGCAGCGGCGACCTCGTTGTAAAACTTAATATTTCAGGAAGTAGAAATGCTGGACAATCCCAATTTTCTATATAGAACAAAGATGACACCAAAGGTGCAACCAAAGATCATCTCTTAGTAGAAGAAACATATGCCACCATTTTGCCCAAGAATAAAAAAAAAAGCTGCACAGACAAAAGCATTCGACAAAAACTAAAGATTGAGCAATACGGAGATTTGGTCTTACATATATGTCATTTGTTTGACCTTACTTGCATGGTTTAATGGGTTTGACTATAGAGTTACCTGACTTTTACTTTATTTTCTTCATTCCAAGAGCAAGAGTAGACTTTTGCGCAAAAATCATTTTTCTCGGACAGTTATGATAGATCAACTATATTTGGTCTTTACAATCATTTTATTGTGTACGTGTCAAGTCAGATATCATATTACACGTTGCTGGTTTATATGTTCAGCAGGCATATGCTTTGGAATGGATAAATGCACTTATCATCAAAAACATAAGATTGATTTCCACAAAAGCGTACAAGCTCAAATTTGATTCAGTCCTCTTTGTATTTATTATTGCAATTTTTGCTAATTTAAAATAATGTTCTAGTTTATTGTAAAATCTTATCTTTTTTACAACTAGAAAAGGAAACAAAACATACCTTTTTTTAAATGAAAACAAATATCAATTTTGATTATGTTTCCAACTTGAATATATAGATTGAAATACGAAAGTTTTATCTTTAAAAGTAAGCAGTTATTTCTGTTAATTATACTGAGCTAATTTTCAGTATGTATTTTCTTTTTACTTAAAAAAGATGTCATGAATATGTATACTTTAAACATGTATATGACCGTTGGTTTTCCCGTTTGAATGGTTTTACACTAGTAATTTTTGGGGCCCTTTATAGCTTGCTGTTCGGTGTGAGTCAATGCTCCGTGTTGAAGACCGTACTTTGACCTATAATGGTTTACTTTTATAAATTTTGACTTGGATGGAGAGTTGTCTCATTGGCACTCATACCACATCTTCTTATATCTATATCTTCGTTTAAAATAAGTATACAATTTCGGACAAGAATGAAATTATTTGTTGATGTATTGGATAAATATACTTGTCAAAAATGGATAAAAATATTTAAGGCACACCATTATACGAACTAACACCTTACAATTTGTTCGCAAGGAGACCATATAGAACTTTTTCTAATGCATGTACCTTCCAAACATAACACACGATTTGTTCCCTGTTTTTGTTTTTTTTTGTTCCCTGTTTTTTTTTTTTTCCCTGTTTTGTATTGTTCCCTGTTTTTGTTTTGTTTTGTTTTGTTTTGTTTTGTTTTGTTTTGTTTCGTCTTTTTAACCAATAAATCAAGCCACTTCAACGAGATTGTCAGATTTTCATATTTGTGTTTAATTCTCACAAATAAACCTAATATAAGGAATCAGATTTGGGGTTCACTGCACTGACTAGATTACTAGAAGTTCCACTTTCAAAACACCACAATCGATAAAGGTATAGAACTCAACTTGATTCAGAGTTGCGTTTCAATGTTGGTATGTTTCAAACTTAAAGTGAAATGTACAATATTTCTTTATTTTTTTAGTTTGTTGATTAGTTGGTTTCTGAGACCTCCAGTGACCAATATTTCATGCATTGTCTCGACGTGACATATATATATAACCTTATTGAATAAAATTGAGAATGGAAATAAATGTTTTCAAACGTGACTAAAATTTTAATGCTATATCTTTCAACAACATACAAAGATTCTATTATCAACACGCAAAATGGAATTGACACGGAGTATACGACTAAATAGGCTAAAATTGCTTGTATTTTGGTTTCCCTATGAATACCATGTGTACATTTTTTTTATTGAACAAATCTATAATCGTGCGGATTACCACAGATCATACAATCAATTTTCCAGCTGTTTAAGTGGCCCCGATCCATTATTTGGACTGAAATTGAATTTTAACATGAAAATCAAATGTACGGGTTGTATAAGTTCAGATCTATATACTGTCAAATGTACAATAGATCTTTACAGGTACACGTTTATAAAGGATGGTTAGACGTGATCTTCATAAGAAAAAGAAGATAAAACCACACTTTTATGTAGTTTGGTCGGCTTCGTGTTGCTTAGTCTTTAGTTTCTGGGCTGTGTTTTGTAGACTGTAGTTTGTCTTTTCGTAGTTTTTCGTTTTGTAGACTGTTGTTTGTTTTTTCGTAGTTTTTCGTTTTGTAGACTGTAGTTTGTCTTTTCGTAGTTTTTCGTTTTGTAGACTGTAGTTTGTCTTTTCGTTTTTTTTTTCGTTTTGTAGACTGTAGTTTGTCTTTTCGTAGTTTTTTCGTTTTGTAGACTGTAGTTTGTCTTTTCGTAGTTTTTCGTTTTGTAGACTGTAGTTTGTTTTTTCGTAGTTTTTTCGTTTTGTAGACTGTAGTTTGTCTTTTCGTAGTTTTTCGTTTTGTAGACTGTAGTTTGTCTTTTCGTAGTTTTTTCGTTTTGTAGACTGTAGTTTGTCTTTTCGTAGTTTTTCGTTTTGTAGACTGTAGTTTGTCTTTTCGTTTTTTTTTCGTTTTGTAGACTGTAGTTTGTCTTTTCGTAGTTTTTTCGTTTTGTAGACTGTAGTTTGTCTTTTCGTAGTTTTTCGTTTTGTAGACTGTAGTTTGTTTTTTCGTAGTTTTCCGTTTTGTACTGTTTGTCTTTTCGTAGTTTTTCGTTATCTTCCATAGCGTTGTGCATTTTGTCTTCGACTGGTGAGTTTGAATTTCTCTTTGGTACTATCTTCTGTTTCTCTTTTATATAGTCTCACTCTGCTAAGTGCTGTTACCATTACTGCAACAATACAAATATGCGTTTAGCTTTCCATTGTGAAATGTGGTAGAATGAAATGTGCTACAGGGGCGGATACAGAATTTTTGAAAAGGGGCGTAATTGCAGATAACTGAATATATACTCGAAAAAACGTTTAGGACGATTTTATGCTAAAAAACATAAAATTTTCAATTAAATGGGGAACGTACGTACGCCCTCTATGCCCCCATTTGAATCCGCCATGCGGCAATGTGGCGGCAACTTAACGACAAAAATAAAGACATTTAGAGGTCAACATGCAGTCTGCAACAATAGACAACTCTCCTCAAAATATTTCAAGCTATAAATCGTCCTCACATTTGCGTATAAATTAATCATTACATTTCAAAGATCTGCAATCAACACCAAATTATCCAATAACAATCAAGATATGACACAAGACAACCACTGCCAATAACAATCAAGATATGACACAAGACAACCACTGCCAGGGTTCATTGGGTTAACAATCTGATTAAAATACAGATCATGTATGTTCTCTCACCTTGTAAGCAAAGCTTAGACACTGTATCTTAATCAGATTGTTGTGTTAAACTTTTTTTTTATAGATCTGAATGCTCCCCTTTTTTGCTACTATTCAGTGAACTAACAAAAGGTGCAAAAAGAATGCACAACAAAAAATCACTGCATCTTGTGTATTATGTTTTTGTCGTCACAAATGTATAGTTCCATACTTGATTCATTGGCGAGCGTTATGGCAACCAAAAATATCGTACATGTAAACCCGTGTCATGACGTCAAGGCTTTTACACATTCGAAATTAACTGAATAGTTCTGTAAGTGTTGATGAATTGTTTTGAACGGAACAAAATTGTTAGTACTCGTACACTTTATTGGAATTAAAACTGAATGTTTTTTTTACCGTTTTTTACGCAGTTTATTGAGTTGTAAACTCGGCTTTTTACTCACAAACTTAGCATAAAGTCATTTACATCAATAAACCAGCTCGTTCAATTGAACCTTGACGGCCGTACGGTGATCTATATAGTTAACGGTTAAAGTCTGTTGGTCTCTAGTGGTCTCATTGGTGATCATACCACATCTTCCTATTTTGAATCTTTATCACTCTTGTCTCACTATACTGTAGTTTGGAGCCCCTATTTTGTTACAATTGTAGACTCATTGTAGGTACATGATGTATGAGACTACTATAACATATGTTATACCAGGAACATATATATTGATATACTGTTCCCAGATTATACTGAGCAGTCTCGGATGAGGTAAAGGGTGTCTTATGTGCTGAGTAGTCTTTTTGTAGACTACTAGTGACTAATCTTACCTTAATCATGTTAATAGCTGAATGCTATATCATTATTGAAACGCAATACCATGTCCTGACAATTACGTGGTTTAGATAATAACAAACAATTTCTTTTCATACAAATTTTAAAAGATAAAAGGTAAAAAAACTTCATAAATGTGTCGACATTATCTAATTTCATACTATACTTACACCAAACTAAGTAATTATATATCTTTACTATTAAGAAGCAATTAAGGCGAACATCTCCTCATTTAACGTTCGGCTATTCGAATTGGTTTACTTTTTTAGGTCAAATTAACTTTTTTCACGTTTTCACTCCAGTAACTCATAAAAACTTCCACTTTACAAAGAGATTAAGAGAAATAATGTATTGGATGTGAAATAAAGTTTTATTAAATTTGAACGCGGTTAAAACTCGTTGGAATTTAAACTCGACAGACACTTACGGTAGTCTGTTGTAAAAATAAAGACGGTGTTTTATGTTTATTGTAAAAATTCCTGAGAACCAGTGCAGAGATTTATTGTGTAAACAACGCATGGTCAATAGTAGGAAATAAGCCAGGATCAATATTCATAAATAATTTGACTTTGTGTGTCATATTTTCTACATGATTAGATGATATTAAAAGGTAAGATTTAATTACATATTTCAAATGAAATCTGATATTGTACAAAACTTTTTGTTTAAAATATTAAACGTTATTTAGTTTTAGCACAGACATACAATACAATGATATGTCTCTGGTGTTAGTATTAATTGGATGATGCAAAAGAGGGGTATTAACTTGCACTATCTGGTCTTAAATCACGATAAGGCAGTATATACCCCTTGCAATTTTAAAGTATGCCAAATTTCACCCGTCCCCCCTTTTTTCCGACGAGAAAGAGTTACTGCGTATGATGTAGAAAAAAATATATTCCATTTCAACTAGAATTTATTTTAATACGTATGTGGTAAATCGTACTATACAGGGAGAAATCATTAAATGACCATAACATAATTAGATTGAATACTGTTTAAATTGAATACTGTGGACATTATATGTTATTTGAAAACCAGTAAACCATTTAAACTCAATGACAAACAAGTTATTCGAATATGAAAATATTTTATAATTTTTTCAATAAATACACAAATTATTCTACAAATTTTCTGATATAAATGCGAATAGAGTGTATCATGCATGTGATTGGATTAGTGTATGTTACCAATCTTTATACGGAAAGATTTATTCTACTTAAAAAAATATTTCTCATTTGGGATCTGTGAAAATGTTGTTTTTATTTCTGAATCATAAAACAATCAAATCCAAGGAAGATTACGACGAACCGGTCTTATAAAGAATTTAAGAACAAAAAGGAATATGGGAATGAAGTGGGAGAAGGAAGAATTAGTGCTAATCATTTTAGTATACCAAAACTGTCCTTTTATTGATTTTTTTTAGGAACGAACTTTTCCTGTTTGAAATTCTGGTTCCGCCACAACTTGCTACACCATGCATGTATCATTTTTGCTCAGCAACTTAATATATGTTAAATGCATTCACCAACAATACTATAACATAACTAAACCAAAAGTTCATTACATAGCATGGGAAAATTACATTGAGACATGATCGTGAAACTACATCATCGTTATAGCCAAGTGCTACGATCCGGTCTCCTCCTCGCCACGTGAATAGGAGGGAACGGATCGTAACCATGGGCTTACGAAGATGGTGAAACTATAGCTTTAGGACGTAATTCAATATTTTTGTTTGTCGAATAATGGAAAGGGAAATGCCATATCTCACTACAATGATAAAAGAATACTTCTCTCACTTCAATCCTGTTTTGTAAAGGTTATCACAGCACAAGGAAGGACATATATAACATTGATTTGAATTGAAGAATATAAATTTGATTCTTCCTTATACATATTATTTGCTCCTGGTAAGACATTTCCCTTTAAGATAAGATTCAAACAGAGGCCCTTATCATTAATCACGGGTGTAGTGAAAAGCTGGTACCATTAGAATTTGCAACACCATAAAGCGACTAATAAGCTTGTAAGTAGCGTATCAATCGTACAAAATCTATATTATAATTAAACTTGCTGAGACACTCTGGGAAAACATAACCAAACCATATCTGGCTATCCGTAAAAATTAGTAAGAGACGTGGTATGACCGTAGTTATGATTGTGAATTAAACAACTTTCGCCTAAAGACCAAAAGAAAAATTATAGCTTATAGTAAGGCCTTCAACAATAAAGCAAATTCCATACCGTAGTGACGGCAATGCATACATAGTAAGCCTTGTTCTCCCTCGATTTCATTTATGTACAACTAAAGAAAAAAAAAAGCACATGAGACCAATTTCCGTTCACAGGACACATGTAAATAACAATTCAATTAATTCCATGTGAGAAACACTGATTGATTAATTGATCATTGTTTAACTGAGGTAGATCGGGTGTTTTCCGCCATCTTAGATAGTAAAATAGCAGTAAACAATTGGTCTAGAATTTTAATGAAATATCACGGCAAATTTTGAGAGAGGAGTGAAATTCATTTGTAAGAATTTTCATATAAATGAAGAAATTTGTGTGTCTTATCTATAACTTATACTGAACATTTTTAGTTTTGATTCAACTTTTATTCAATATAGCCATAGTAAGGGAAAATAAATTAGATATTCCAATTTTATAATGGAATGTACAGTAAATTATCATATTTTTTAAATGCGACAGGAAAACAAGAACAGTGTCACATTTTTGTCTTTGATTTTCTTAAAGTAGTTTATAAGACCTTCTCATTTTTATTTTAAAATTCTATCGTTTAATTATCTTTCTATTCACACAAAATTGTTTTTCCCATGTACTTATCTTTTCTGAAATCTGACAGTTTTGCACAGCATGTAACTTGAAAAAAGCCACGTGACCATACTTTTTATTTTATTTAAAAAAAAGCATGATATAAACTATATTTTGTCAAAGTATTAAAACTTTCTATCTTTTTAAATAAAGTTAGAGTCGCGTCAGCACGAAAACTGACTCTTTAAGTTTTGACAACTTTATATTCAAGCAAACGAGCCAGGATGTATTTATTTTTCTTATTTATCAGTAAATAACCGTTAAATGTTTTTTTTAAATTTGTTTTTAAACTCAAAACTTGTTCTACACTTCGATTTTTAAATGGACAAATATTAAAAACAAAAAAAGGTGCTCTCGAATGTTCCAATACTAATAAATGAATATTAACTGACTACATTGTATTAATATGTCACTGATTAATTACAGTGGGTTGTAATTTAAAAAGACCGAGTTTTATCTCGTATGTCCAGTCATGTATTGCGTAGATTTGGAAGGTTTTCCGACTTTATAACTTGGCCCTGCCAAAAATACATTGACCATCGGTACTTTTCTAGACTTTTCGTGCACGACAATCGGCTACAGAATTGGTAAGGCTGACTATGATTTTGAGATCACAGGCACTTAACAGTGCTTAAGTTATGTATATGGATAGTCGACCTCCCAATGGATAGAAACAAGTGCCTTAAATATTGAGGAAAAATATGTCTGTAATAAAAATAGGTATCATAATACAAGTACTTTAGTATCTGAGACTACTAGAAGTCAGACTGAACTAATGATTTGTATCTGACAATACAAATCCTTAGCTGAACACTCTCAATTGGCCACCACAATCACTTTAGACTACACACTAAACTTGTCATGATGTACAAGATCTCACATCATTTAGTCAAGATTCCATGAGACACCATTCTAAAATAATAACTGCAGATCCAAGAACAAGAACACTCCATTACTCACTTTTAGGCACATATATATCTAAAGTTATATATATCTAATTATGATTATAGGCACTAATTTATTTCCGTTCACAATAATTCAATCTCCTAATCTTTAGAGAACAACTTACTTCTGCTGTTCTTTATAGGTATTACGCTCATTTGCATATAAAACCTGGCTGTACATAGTTTTAACCACATTTGCACTATTTAACAATTTATCTGGGACTAATATACTAAGTATAATATTTTAGTCCAAGAATTTTTTCTATATAATACTAAAGTTCCTTATAATTTTATAGGTTAATTAATGTAAATAGACCATGCATGCAATAATAATTTAATCATCAGCCTGCTTGATAGTATACTACAAAACAAAAGAAGTATTGACACCAAGAAAACAGCATGCAACATAGAAAGAAACCATAAAAACAACAATAAATCAAAACAAACAAGTTTGACTACCTCACTTTCCATAGGCAGAGATGTGGTTATTTTCTCTGTATCCATATATATGTATATAGATATTAATTTAAATTGGCATTATTTTACACACTTCAGTAGGTGACATTTAATGAAGAAAGTATGGGTGCAAACCATAGGAATCAACTGAAAGAAAATCACAACAAAAAAAAATCATATCTTTTATTGTCATTTTCATAATGATTTGGTAGATGATAGTTATAGCTAATATTGTGGAGCCAGATGGCGAGGATGTCAGCATATATTTGTTTCTCCTTACCAAAGTTCCTCTGAAAACTTTGTTTAAATAAACAATCTTAGTGATTTTTGGGGGTTTCCCATACCATACATGGACTTCTGCATTCCTGCCTATCTTATTTAGTTGATTGATTGATGTTTAATGCCACTTTCAGCACTATTGTTTATTTCCTGGCAGTCAGTTTTTATTGGTTGAGGAAACCTAAGTGCCCGGAGACAACCACCTTTGGTGGGAAAACTAACAATTAGAGTCAATTAAGATTAGAGTCTAACACACCTGCCACGTGCTGGATTCGAACTCACTACCTCAGTGTTGACAGGCTAGTGATACAGTAGTTGGACTTCTTAGACCACTTGGCCACCGAGGCCCCATATCTTATTTGAAGATGTCAGGCTTCACACATCTTACTTGGAAGACATATTTTTGTATTAAGTGGTAGCTAGCAATCTGTAGAATATATTCATTAATGACGATCAATTCTTTTGAATGGGGAAATATGGTTGGACCCCTCCCTTTATCCTGGGTTGGAACCCCCTTTTAAAAATGGCTTGATCCACCCCTGAAAATGGTTTCAATTTGGGATTTCAAAAAAGCAGTTGACTTCAAGCTTTACATGAATATATGTGAAATTGTCAGTTTGAATCTGATTTATAGTAATAAATTGTTATCTTCACATACTGCTGTGACCAGTAGGGAACCTGTTTAGTGTTAGTAAAGTCTTAAAAGGAATATTTTTTTATATTCTTATAGAAATTGAATCTGTATTGCTTAAAGAGTTGAGTATTATTCTTAGAGCTTTGAGTTGATGATCTTGCTATTTTAATTTTTTTAATTTCAGTTTGAGAACAAGTTGAGAATAGTTAAATGTCCATAACGGAGAAAATGGGCTTAATTCTCATTTAAAACAATGACTGATAGAAGGAGACATTCTGTTGCTGAGATTGTCCCACCAACACCCCATAGTAAAGACAAGAAAAAATGGTCTTTTGATGCATTCAGTCCATTACATCTTGGATTTACATTGCCATCAAAATGGAAGAGGAAATCATCTGCTGATGGAATAGATCCACGTTTGAGAAAACATGCAGATGACCACGATCTTCTGGTTAAACCATCTTTAGGACATAGATCCAAAAGACGTGCTTCAGTGGCTGTTATTGCCACAGAGACTACTTGTACACTTGAAAAAAGTAGCCATCACCATGGCAGCTTTTTGTCACTATGGAAAAGAAGGTCATCCATTCAAGTTGAACAGACAGTCACTGTTGAACAGAAAAGTTCTCCTGAGGAGGAAAGACCGAGATCTGAGGTACCCAGGAGACGAGCCTCCATTGCAGTGCCACATCTTAATATTCCTGAACACAAAATCATATTCAAATCTCCTAAATCCAAGTCAAAGAAACACAGTAAAGAATATTTCCTGGCTGTAGTTAACCTCACCAATGGTGATATAAGATGGGTAAGTAAACAGTAAAGAATATTTCCTGGCTGTAGTTTACCTAACCAATGGTGATATAAGATGGGTAAGTAAACAGTAAAGAATATTTCTTGGCTGTAGTTTGCCTAACCAATGGTGATATAAGATGGGTAAGTAAACAGGAAATATCCTGGCTGTAGTTTACCTAACCAATGGTGATATAAGATGGGTAGGTAAAAAGTAAAGAATATTTCTTGGCTGTAGTTTGCCTAACCAATGGTGATATAAGATGGGTAAGTAAACAGGAAATATCCTGGCTGTAGTTTACCTAACCAATGGTGATATAAGATGGGTACGTAAACAGTAAAGAATATTTCCTGGCTGTAGTTTACCTAACCAATGGTGATATAAGATGGGTAAGTAAACAGGAAATATCCTGGCTGTAGTTTGCCTAACCAATGGTGATATAAGATGGGTAATAAACAGTAAAGAATATTTCCTGGCTGTAGTTTACCTTACCAATGGTGATATAAGATGGGTAAGTAAACAGTAAAGAATATTTCCTGGCTGTAGTTTACCTAACCAATGGTGATATAAGATGGGTAAGTAAACAGGAAATATCCTGGCTGTAGTTTGCCTAACCAATGGTGATATAAGATGGGTAATAAACAGTAAAGAATATTTCCTGGCTGTAGTTTACCTAACCAATGGTGATATAAGATGGGTAAGTAAACAGGAAATATCCTGGCTGTAGTTTACTTAACCAATGGTGATATAAGATGGGTAAGTAAACAGGAAATATCCTGGCTGTAGTTTACCTAACCAATGGTGATATAAGATGGGTAAGTAAACAGTAAAGAATATTTCCTGGCTGTAGTTTACCTAACCAATGGTGATATAAGATGGGTAAGTAAACAGGAAATATTCTGGCTGTAGTTTGCCTAACCAATGGTGATATAAGATGGGTAAGTAAACAGTAAAGAATATTTCTTGGCTGTCGTTTACCTAACCAATGGTGATATAAGATGGGTAAGTAAACAGTAAAGAATATTTCTTGGCTGTCGTTTACCTCACCAATGGTGATATAAGATGGGTAAGTAAACAGTAAAGAATATGTCTTGGCTGTCGTTTACCTAACCAATGGTGATATAAGATGGGTAAGTAAACAGTAAAGAATATTTCCTGGCTGTAGTTTACCTAACCAATGGTGATATAAGATGGGTAAGTAAGAGAATGAAGAGGTCATGTAAGTCTTCATATCTGTCGCATATCAGTCAAATTCACTTCACTCAACTCAATTTGTTTAACCATTTCAGTTTATTTATAGAGATAAAATACTATCAAATTATTTGGTATTGTAAAAAAAGATATGCTCTTTCTGACTAGACATTTGTCCATTCTTAGAGACTTTATTTTATATTAACTAGTTGAACTACAGGTTAAACATAAGTGGAGGTAAAACCACTATTTGTTACTTAGGAGTAAGTTTAGCAGTATTTGTGAGAGGCCAGTAAATAACTAAAATCTTCTGACTTTTGGAGACTTCATTCACACGGATTAGTGGACTAGCGGATTAATCGAAGTAAATTTGTCTTCCAAATATTAATTTAGGTCAATTTGTATTTGCCCAAAGTAACTTTTGTTTTATATTATGCTGTTGAAATTTGAATTATAATTTATCAGTCCTTTTGACTAGCACATAACAAACTTCTGTCATATTTGTTTTTAGCTCACCATTCCGAAGGAACTGTGAGCTTTAGCCATCACTTGGCGTCCGTCGTCGTCCGTCTGGTGTAAACTATTTCAAACATCTTCTCCTCTGAAACTACTGAACCAATTTCAACCAAACTTAAGCTGAATGATTCTTAGGGTATCTAGAATAAAGATTGTGTTTTATTTTCTGTTTCGTCAAATAACATGGCCGCCATGGCTAAAAATAGAACATAGCGGTAAAATGCAGTTTTTGGCTTATATCTCAAAAACCAAAGCAGTTAGAGCAAATCTGACATGGGGTGAAAGTGTTCATTAGGTAATGTTCTATCAGCCCTGAAATTTTGCAGATGAATCTAATAACCCATTGTTGGTTTGCTGCCACTAAATTGGTAATTTTAAGGAAATTTTGCAGTTTTTGGTTATCTTGAATAGTATTAATGATAAAGATAAACTGTAAACAGCAAATATGTTCAGCAAAGTAAGATCTACAAATAAGTTTTATATGACCAACATTGTCAATTGACCCCTTAAAGAGTTATTGCCCTTTAAGGACAATTTTACACAATTTGTTTATCATGTTTTCTAACTTTAAAAAACTTCTCCTCTGAAACCACTGAACCAATTCCAACCAAACTTAAGCTGAATGATCCTTAGGGTATCTAGAATAAAGATTGTGATTTATTTTCTGTTTAGTCAAAAAACATGGCCACAATGGCTAAAAATAGAACATAGGGGTAAAATGCAGTTTTTGGCTTATATCTAAAAAACCAAAGGAGTTAGAACAAATCTGACAAGGTATAAAAGTGTTCATTAGGTAAAGTTCTATCAGCCCTGAAATTTTCAGATGAATCTAATAACCCATTGTTGGGTTGCTGCCACTAAATTGGTAATTTTAAGGAAATTTTGCAGTTTTTGGTTATTATCTTGAATAGTTTTAATGATAAAGATAAACTGTAAACAGCAAATATGTTCAGCAAAGTAAGATCTACAAATAAGTTTAATATGACCAAAATTGTCAATTGACACCTTAAGGAGTATTGCCCTTTGAGGACAATTTTACACAATTTGTTTATCATGTTTTCTAACTTTAAAAAATCTTCTCCTCTGAAACTACTGAACCAATTCCAACCAAACTTAAGCTGAATGATCCTTAGGGTATCTAGAATAAAGTTTGTGTTTTATTTTCTGTTTCGTTTAAAAACATGGCTGCCATGGCTAAAATTAGAACATAGGGGTAAAATGAAGTTTTTGGCTTATATCTCAAACACTTAAGCAATTAGAGCAAATTTGATGAGAGGTTAAAATGTTCATTAGGCCAAGTTCTATCATCCATGAAATTTTCAGATGAATCTAACAGTCCATTATGGAGTTGCTGCCACTAAATTGGTAATTTTAAGGAATTTTGCAGTTTTTGGTTATCTTGAATATTATTAATGATAAAGATAAACTATGAACAGCAAAAATGTTCAGCAAAGTAAGATCTACAAATAAGTTAATATGACCAAAATTGTCAAATGTGTCCTTAAGGAGTTTTGCCCTTTAAAGACAATTTTTCACAATTTGTTCATCTAGTTTGCTTACTTTAAATCTTCTCCTTTGAAACTGCTGAATCAATTTCAGCCAAACTTGGGCAGAATAAGTTTCAGAGTATCTAGTATAAATTTTGTATTTTATTTCCTTGTACGTCAAGAAACATAGCCACTATGGCTAAAATGGAACATAAGGGTAAAATGTATTTCTTTGCTTTTGAAGAAAATATGACAGATACAAAGAACATTTCAATGGAATATTTAAGCCACTCATTAATATATATTAAAAAGCAAAAATAATCATTGATGAAAGATTTAAGCAAAAAATTACAGGTGAGCGATTCAGGCTCTTGAGAGCCTCTTGTTTGTAAATTGTTTTGTTCTAAATGAGGCCGTTAGTTTTCACAATTGAATTGTTTCATATTTTTCATGTCGGGGCCTTTTATAGCCGACCATACGGTATGGGTTTTTCTCATTGTTGAAGGCCATATGGTTGCCTATAATTGCTTACATCCACTTCACTTGAACTTTGATGGATAGTTGTCTCATTGGCATTCATACCACCTACTTATGTTTATATTGAAATATCCAAATATAATGACCAACCTATGTAAACAGAGTACTTCTTTTGGAATTAATAACTAATTATTGATGTAAACTTCTACAGTGGTGTAGATTTTGTCTTCTATATATATGAGATATGCATTGTTTAAGTGATGTCCACTATAAACATTAACTGGTTTTCACATTCCATAGAGGATTGATCAGTTTGACTAGTCTGACTTCTCATGAATTTCCATAGTTTTAAAAGCAGTTGATAAGAATTTATAGAACAGACTTTACCTTTCTTGTTAAGTTTACAAATTATAAAATCTTATATTAGAGAAAAATTTGCAAATCAATACTTATAAATTTTATACAAATATCTGTCTAGAAAAAGTGGATTTTGTAAAGTTTTGTAAAGTTGTATGAATAACAGATGGTAGGTATTAACAGTAAATATGTAACAGGAAGCATTTTGGGGGGAATGTAGATGATTGGTGTTAGGTCATTTTACAGGTAGACGGAAATATCAGGAATAAACTCATAGCTGGAAACATACATTTTGTTTCTTATTCCAAAATAAAAGTTATAAGAAGGACACTTTTCTTTTTGTCCTTTGAATAAAAAGTGACCAAAACCACACATAGCCTCCCCCCCCCCCCCCACCAAAAAAAATTAAAAAAAATTAGACCTCTTATATAATAGTAATAGTACATGAAGATGTTGAAGATACCTAATAGCTTTTGGGATAAGGCTTTTTTTTATAACTTAGTATCTTATTTAAAGAACGACTCTAGAAATGCCCTTTTTGAGTGTATTTTGTTCATTTTGGCATGATAATTAGGTCACTGTGACATTGTGATTGATATTTCTTCACTAACATGGTTAGATTATACATTGTATTATTATATTCATTTGGCAATGAAATAAATATAATTTTTGAAGGTTATTACATTATCACATGGACATATAAATGCATAGTTTGATTCTTGGAAAAGAACACTGCTAAAGGTGAAACCAGCACTAGCTGTTTCTACTGTGAAATAAAATTTACTCAAAATAATTTTGTTCTGTCCTTATACATTTGGTGATGTTTTGTTTGTAAACACAGTATATATATGTATATAAATATGTCACCTAGACAAGGCATAGTACTTTTAAATCATATTTCTAAAGAAAACACAATTGATACAATATCCAACGATTCAGACAAAGATTAAAGGATATAAATGTGGAAATACGGTTGTTTAAATATTT